ATGGAGACATTATAATGTTGACATATCTTCCAATGTGGGCATTCCCTAACGTATCTTATTTATATATTTTATGCTGGTGTTCACCCTGTACAAAGCTCTGGGGGGGTCATTCCAGGTAGCGGGTTAAATAGGTAAAGCTTTTGAGGATATGTGCGGAAGATAATTTAGATTTAAACTGTTTAAAATTGTAGTGACCACGGAAGCAAACACTTGGGAGTAGGTATTTAAATCAATTTTGGGACAGGTTAGATTGCACAGATATGAGATGGTCAGTAGATTCTTAAGCGTACAAAATCGATATTCTGGATATACCCCATTTGTTAAACTATGTGTCTGACAGGATCTTATGAGCATATTTTGATCACGTGCCGCTCGCTTGAACAGCTCTGTTTTTGCTTTCAACCTAGAGCTCTGTAAACATTGTTGGTATCATTTTATTGATCTGGGCATTAGACATGTTAGGCTTTTCGTTCCCTTATGTTTGCAGGTTAGCTAAGGCATTATTTTATCAGTATTATTTGTTTTACTTTTTGACCTCTACGTTTACTCTTGCTCTTGCTCGTCTACTCCTTCTTCTTCTTCTTCTTCTTCTTATTATTATTATTATTAGTAGTAGTAGTAGTAGTAGAAGTAGTAGTAGTATTAGTAGTATTAGTAGTAGTAGTAGTATTTGACATCTTATCCGACTCTTGGAAGATTCCACTGGAGATCAAATTTAGTACTGCCTAGTGTACTCGCTGATTTTCGTAATTCTGTCATATATATATATATATATATATATATATATATATATATATATATATATATATATATATATATATCTTACTTATTATAAAACGCAGATTGTGTGTGTGTGTCTGTACGTTTATATATTGGATCGGATTTCCTACATTTTTCAACCGATTTCAACAAAACTTCACAAGACTACGTAGAATTGCATTGCGGTGGTTCTGACAGTGCCAAAATTGGAAAAACACAATTGTTTTTGCACGAAATCAATTTGAAAACACGATAAAAAAATTATGTTGCCAGAATGAAAGGGGGACAACTCATATCGAGTTATACTTATAAAACCCAGGTTGTTTGTGTGTTCGTTTATACATGGGATCGGATTTCCTACATTTTTCAACCGATTTCAACAAAACTTCACTTTTTTTTGGCAGGTAAGTGTTTCTTATTGTCTTGCACACTTTTTTTTCCACATTCAGAATGCTTTAAAAATTCCATTTACAAGAAAATTGTTTATAATAAAATTCTATTCAATCGATAGACTGAAAACAATGTTTTTTTGTAACTTTTTAGATTTCATTGAAAAATACATCCCTACCCATTACCAAAACGTAGCAATAACTGATGCATTAAAATATAGACATATTGAACACCCAGACACACCTAGTCTAGCAAAATGGATTTATCTGTAACCTTCGAAACATGAATTTTGTTTTAGCTGTGTCTTTAAAGTAATTTTAAAAGTTACTCCAAAATTCGCTTGAGGATGAAATGGAACTAATGTCTTTAATTTAATTACAAAATTAAATTCGGGGCTTTTAGCTTCCATTTTTGAAACATGGTTAGAACTGTGTAGCGAAAAAAACATATTTTAAATCAATTAATTTATAATATATATATATATATATATATATATATAGGTAAGAAGAAAACGAATAGTATACAATTCCAACGTTCGTAACATTTCATTTTTCTCAAAAAAGAGGAGGTATTTTGCTTTTGAAATTAATCGTTCACTCGCCAGTAATTTACAATCGCATGAGGAAACGCAGTGATATGTGTTGAAATACGATCGCAACTGTGTAACGATTTTTAACATGTTTTTGTTTTAATATCCTAAAATAATATATATATATATATATATATATATATATATATGATTATTTATTTATATCTATTTTTATATATATATATATATATATTTATATATACTATAAAGCAAATGAAAGGAGAAGATCAAAATATTAGACCTGCTGATATGACGAATGGGTCTTGCCCTCCAACATCGCCCTTTGTTAAATCAAATTTCCGAAATGTATTACACAAATATATTTATCCAGTTCCGTAAATATTTTGGAATGGATCAGAGGTGCTGAGATTCGTTAACCTTCGTTATTACAAGTTAATGCAATCCGAAATCAAGATTTATTAATGGAATCAAGTAATTAAACTTTGTAACAATGAGAATGAACCTGAAGATTATTCAGGAAATTGTATTCAATTCTACGTATAGATGTATATAATTAGTCCGTACGCTTAACATATTCCGACACAAGATCAATGGTAAAGGACACACAGTATGTGTTAAAGTCACTACAGGTCATTAATAGTCTACTTCAGCTCGCTATTCCCACAATGAAGCGTATGGATGGATTATAATTCCATTGTCATATAATCGCTTCTATTATTCAAATAATTTCATAAATTACCTATTTCCTATATAAAATACAATATGGCACTACTTAAATTAACTGGTTGATATTTTTTGAGGATTAGAATTCATTAGGCATTATTCAAGCCACGTCGCTTCAAAATCTATAAATGTTGATTTTTATTTCAGAAAGACGGTTCTTTTCATGATATAAATACATTACCAAATCACTCTAGAATTCTTAAACATTTATCTGCAATTTGTTTTCATTTATAAATCACAAATTTGAAACTATGCTTACGTCACTGATAACCCAGTGCTATTGATAAGGTCTTGTTTCCAAAGTCGAAAAAGTATTATTGCGAAGGTCTTGTGAATGTTAATCTATTAAAATTATTACCTCTAAAATTATTCTCTGTTTATTCACGAAAAAGTGTATGTAGTGCTTTGGAAAAACGCAACTATTATTTTTATTTTAATATATATATATATATATATATATATATATATATATATATATATATATATTATGAAATGGACAATGTCCGACAATTATTTTAAGACATTTTTATGTTTATACATTCTTTTTATAGATATAGGCCGGTAAATGTTGTTTAATACTGTTTATTATAAACAGAGAATTTACTTAAATATTTGTAGCTATAAAAGAATGTATAAACATAAAATGTCTTTATATATATATATATATATATATATATATATATATATATATATATATATATGAGACATTTTATATGGATTTTTTCCCACTTGGTTAAACTAATGTGCTTCGTAAAAAAAAAAGTGGGAATAATATTCCTAAATTTTACCTAAATCTGATAAATTATGAAAGAAAATGAGGGAAGGATAGGAAGATCGTGTTACGCCAATAATTCAAGTGTATTGATTATTTTTAAATCGATATTCGATAGGCTGGCTGTTTCTCCTGACTCGGATAATTTATGACACTAATTATAAACATTATCTTTTAGCTCTCGTAAAAGGTCATACTTTTTATTATTTTTAGTAATTTTAAATACAAATATTGGTCGACCCTGGATCGTCACATAACCTCTGTATATTGTTTTTCATGGCCAATGCGTGTGTGCAGGAAATTGGGGAATCCGAAAACAGTGTTGGAGTTCCCAGATGTGAATTGGGACACCACCCCCGCGAGGAGAAATTATGCATTTAGTATTAAACAGTCGAAAACAACATCTGAAAAATCGTGTGGTCGGAATTGACTAATCGGGCTGGATTATGGCTAGGGGCGGAATTTGGTAGAACACTTATTCGTTCGTCGGAACCAGAAGACAGATCCGCTCGTCAAAAGAAGTTGAGGAATGCAGGTCCTTTTTGGAAAGAAGGCTTGGAATGTTTGAGACTCACAGGATATCTTAAAGACAAGAGAGACAGAGCTTTAAATCTATCAAACGAGCTTATGTAAATGGATGACAGAAAAGGCTTTAGGAAAGATAGTAAAAAGACAAAATTTATTAAGAGCTCCAAAGGACAGGAAATTGTGATGAACCGGATTTATCAGATATACCATTACCATAAAGTGACTTCGGAAAAAACCGATAGAAGTTTGCCGATCGACTCTCATTTGGAACAAAGAAGTGATGACTCAACCACCCAGAAGTTATGAGCTGAATTGAATAAAACCCCAACGACAGTGGTTCGGAGAAGAAGCGGTATTATATATGTGCCTGAGTTTCAATAGCTTTCTAAAGTAGAAACAATTTTAATGCATTTGTATCTCTATCTATAAAAGTCAGGATGTGTGTGTGTGTGTGCGCGCGCTCGCGCGCGCGCGTGTGTATGTGACGAATGCACGGCCGCAACTTTCGACGGATTTGCACCAAAATTTACATGCACATGCTCCAAGTTAGAGGGAAGTCCAACACCGACTTTGCATTTCCCAACTCCCATCGATAGTGGAAATAATCGATTTTTTCATGCTTCTACGGCAGTTTTCATGTAGTTTGCGGCCATTTTGTACTGGTCAGAGTGAGAGCCAATAGCTGGCTGCCACGAATAGGCAGGAAGATTGTATTGGCCAGCGTGAGAGCCAACAGCTGACTGATACAAATGTTAACTAGCATGCTAGCATGCAAAAAAAAATCGATAGCTGCATTCGTCACAAGTGGGAAAAATTTAAATCTGCATAGCACTTTACTCCAATTGGCTCATTCGCTTGCTTAAAATCAACGTTGATTCTGATTCCGCAGAACTGGGTTGGGTGCGAAAAAGTAATTGTTGTTAACATTCTTTTTTTATTCGGTTTTTCCAGTTACGAGCCTTTTTTTAAAGCTGATCGTTTTGTGTTCATTTTGTTTAGTTCTTTTTTCGTAACAGATTTAATGTTTAGTATAGAGCTTAGAAAACATTTACAGTGTGAGATAGGCAAGAAGTAAGGCATGTAGCAACATCAGCACGGCAAAGGGCACTCCTTTAAAAGCAAGGAAGGGCAAAAATATTTTATGTCAAGTGATAGCGATTACTGTATGAGTCGTACAATTTTTGAATCAAGCACAGGCAACGCGGGGCCATGCTGCTAGTCATGTATATAAAACATCAGTATTTGCAACTTTTGATATTCTATCTAATAACTGACAATCTATAAGAGGTAATTGATGAAAAGGAGAAAGAAAGGAGAGTAAAGACGCGGTAAACAATAAAGAGATGTAAGGAAACGAGAGAGCGCGGGAAGAGAGCGAAAAAGAGATCGAGAAATGTTTAAAAAGAGATACAATGAAACAGAGAAAGGAAATAAAAGGATACAAGAAACAATGACGGAAGGAAAGATAAACTTGGAGAAGGAGGGAGGGAAGAAAGAAAGAAAGAAAGAAAGAAAGAAAGAAAGAAAGAAAGAAGGGGAATATACAAAGAACTGAAATGGGTACAAAAATGCGGACTTTGATGCTAATTTCTTAATTCTTCTACTACCAAAGATATTAGACATTTTTAGCGCAGAAAATTACGAAGAAAAAACGTAAAAATATTAAAGGTGAGAAAACATTGATTAAAGTGAGAAGAATATAAAAGGCCAAGGAAGCAATGATAGAAGAAGAGATAAAATTAGAGAAGAGAAAGAAAGAAAAAAAAAGAAAGAAAGAAAGAGAAAATATAAAAAAGACCTAAAACTATTTAGTGAAATGTCTTAATTATTTTTGCAGAGATTTTCATTAATATTTAGAAGGACTTTTTTCTATTTTTTTTTTCTTAACCGAAGATCAAAATGCGATATCAAAATCAGAATGCGCATTGGAATAGCCAAATATGCTTACCAAAATCTAAGCAATGGGGGAAGGGACGGCAATGGGGCAAAAGTGGAGAAGGAGGAGGAAGAGGAGAAAAGAAAAGGAGTAGGAGGAGAAAAGGAGTAGGAGGAGAAAAGGAGTAGGAGGAGAAAAGGAGTAGGAGGAGAAAAGGAGTAGGAGGAGAAAAGAAAAGGAGTAGGAGGAGAAAAGGAGTAGGAGGAGAAAAGAAGGAGGAGGAGAAAAGGAGGAGGAGAGGGAAGAGGAGAAATGAAGAAAAGAAGGAAAAAAGGAGGAAGAGGAAGAGAATGAGGAGAATAAGGATGAGAAATGAAGAGGGAGGAGGAGGAGAAAAGAAGAAGAAGAAGAAGAGAAAAAGGAGGAACAGGAAGAGGATGAGGAGAAAGAGGAGGATAATGATGAGAAATGAAGAAGGAGGAGGTGGAGAAGAGAGAGGAGGAGAAAAGAAGAAGAAAAAGGAGAAGAAAAAGGAGAAGGCGGAAGAGGATGAAGAGAAAGAGGAGGAGGATGTTGATGAGAAATAAAGAAGAACGAGGAGCAGACGGAGGAGGTGGAGAAAAGAAGAAGAAGAAGAAGAAGAAGAAGAAGAAAAAGGAGGAAGTGGAAGAGGATGAGGGGAATGAGGATGAGAAATGAAGAAGAAGAAGAAGAAGGAGGAGAAAGAGAAAGAGAAAGAAGAGTATAATAAATGAAGACGGAGGAGGAGGAGGAGGAGAAGTAGGAGAAAAGAAGAAGAATAATAAGAAGAATAGGAAGAAGAAATTATCACTGTGGCAAAGTTAAATCTTTGCGCAAAACAATGTCGAATTAAAAAACTGCTTAAGAAAACTGCCTTCGTTGTGACACCTTTAGATCTGTCTCTGACTTATAAGTAGCAGGAAAGCTACGTGATTTAAATATGAACCAATAGTTTTCGATGTTTCTCGAGCCAAGTTGCGCATTACTAAATCTTGTTCTTGCCTTTCGTTACAATAGAGTGAACCTGTTGATGAAACACTGCTCTCGTCTGCTGATTTATTTTGTCGGAATTGTTAATGGCTAGAATTGAAGAGATCAGTTATCAAATGACAAACTGCTGCCTTGTAGGAATTGACGGAGTGAGAAAGAAAAAAATAAGGAATTCTCAGTTGTGACCAAAAGTGGGGAATAAAAGCATTAATAAAATAAAAATGAAAGGAAACTGAAAAGGTTAGTAATAGGAATAAAAAATAATAAAATTTGGTAAAGAAAGACAAAATGATAAGAGAAAATATGAGAGTTGACAGGTAAAAAACATGCAGAGAAAAAAAGAATAAATTGAGAAAAGACACGACAACCAATAAAGAAAAAAAAACAGAAAAAGAGAAAGAATATTGTTTAAACTGAGAAACAATGAAGTAACAACGAATGAAAACACATGGCAAAAGAATTAATGACGGAATAAACGCAGAAGAAAGAGAGCGGGGGAAGAGAGAGAAAAAGAGATCGAGAAATGTTTAAAAAGAGATACAATGAAACAGAGAAAGGAATTAAAAGGATACAGGAAACAATGGCGGAAGGAAAGATAAACTTAGAGAAGGAGGGAGGAAAGAAAGAAAGAAAGAAAGAAAGAAAGAAAGAAAGAAAGAAAGAAAGAAAGGAAAAAGAGGTATTGGATATAAAGAAGGAAAAAGACAGAAAAGAGAAAACAGTTACCGTAGCCAATGATGAAAAGAAAGATTTGGTTAAAGAGAAAAACAATGAAACAAAGTGGAACAAAAATATCGAAAAGAAAAACAGAAAACGAAAAATAACGGAAAGAAAAGATAAACAGAGAAAACAAAAAAATGGCGGAAAAAAATTATCAAAGACAACAGTCATAAGAAACAAACAACTGGATGGCTGGAAACCAAACGAAAGGAAATTAGAAATACGAATAAAGGAAAGTTAGGCCAGAAGAAAGAAAGAAAGAAAGAAAGAAAGAAAGGAAAATGAAATAAAAATAAAGAAAGAAGGAAAAGAAAACAGATGAAAAGTTAGATAACAAAGACAGAAATGAAAATCATAGCCTGTCGGGCACAAAGCAACAGTTGTTCAACTCTGTTTGAACTCACACTACCAGTCAACTGAAGTAGTAAACGTCCTCTTTGACAATCTGAACACAGCAGGTCCAACAAGCTGATATTTAAAGCTTAACAAATCACAAGACAAAGAAAACTGTAGAAAATTAACATAGAAAAATACTGTGTTGCACAATTTATACAAATGATGAAGACGTTTTAACTTTAAAATTAGTCTTAGATACCCAAGTATTTACCCTGGTTCGAACACCTCTCGCACAGGTGGAAGTGAAGTAACTACGAGGGTCGGCGAGAATGTTTATTGGGTGACCAAATACAAATGTAAATAGACACACAATTTGATAGAATTAAAGATATACTAATATATCAGAATTCAACAGTTAAGTATCTGTTGTATTCTGGTACACTTGCATATCTTACAGTTTACTAACCGGTGTCCCTACTAACATTTATATCTTGGTCAGCTTATGACCTTTCCTGCTGATCCTAGTATGTCAACTTCAGGACTGATACTTTCTTCCTTTCTCTCTTTTCCTACTTTAAAAATCAAGGACTCATATACCGACATTTTACCATGGTTCATGCACTAACCACAAGCATTTTGGTGAAAATTGCAATAGCTTCTGGTTCATGTGAAAACTTGACAAACCGTCTTAATGATCGCGATTTATGTAGGCCAAATATTTAAAGGCGATACCCTACTGAAATATGGCCTCTTGCGTTCTCTTCATATTAGAAATTGCTTCTTTATTTTCGATTATAAAATAGTTATCATACAAAAAGATTTGTCGCCAAAAAACATAAAAAAATCGACGAAAACAACCGAAGAAAACAATGGAAGTAATGAAAACTTGGGAATCAAAAACTTCAGGACTGCCGGTTGGGATCCTGCTCGGGAAGTCTTTAATTTGCTCGGCCTGACTACAAAATGGTATCATATGTTGGGCCACTAGGAGTATAGTTGAAAACATGTACAATTTTATTTTGAAACACTGTAATTTAAGAACAGTATTTTTTTCATTTGAATATCAGCTAATGAAAGTTAGAGAGTTGTGTCCCTTTAATTGTTTTTTTTTTCAGTAGAAGCCAAGATGGCGGAATCCGAAAACAATCGTAGTAATGAAAACTTGGAAATTCAACATTTCAGAATTGCGGGTTGGGATCCTGACCGGAATGATTTTAATTTGCTCATGAAGACGGCATGATTCCAAAATGGTATGATATGTCGGGCTATGGACTCTAGGGGTAAAGTTGAAAAAGTGTGACGCAGTGGCATTTGCATTTATTATATAGATTCATCAAGATTATCATATGTTCTAATTATGATATCAGGTCTAGTAATACAAAGGGAAATAAAATATCCATTGCTTATCGCTGCCCACTGTCTTTATACGTACCTACATTTAAGTCAGTTTTTGTCTATTAACAAAGTAAATAATTCTGAAGGTTGGAAAAAATATACTTAAACACAAAATTTCACAATTTTTACCAAAAGTTTTTCTTTCAGTTTCGGAACTCGATCTAAATGCTGTATATTGAAATTCACAAAGTAATATATTTCAACAGACATGAGTGAATGCAAGCGCAACAGGGCCATTATATTATTGAATGTAAATGCATTGGTAATGATCTACTATAGAAAATCATTGGAAATAACTTTACTATAGTAATTCATTGTAAGTGGTTTTACAATAAAATGCATGGCAAATCAGAAAAAAACGACATTGTCTGTTGTCTGTTAGTAATGCAAATATTATTGACTGATAAAATAGGACTTTTATATTCATAATGTAGATATACATTGAACATAAGAAAAAGTGATTGAGAAATCAAATATGGCTGTTGTATAAGTTACATGAAAACGAAAGGCCTCGTTCATCGCAAAATGCAAACAAAATTTTAAAAAAATACAATAAAAATACCTGCTTAACACGTTGACTGCCAACACAAATCAGTATAAGGTCATGAGACGCCATAATATTTTTTATTCTATGTTATCTTTTTTTATATTTTATAAAAGAATATGTTAGATATCAATAAAAGTTATTTTTATAGTGCTAATAGATTTGTAGAAAATGGCCGGTGAAGTCTTTTTTTTTTCCTTACATGTGACCAATTAGTGGTAACGGTTATACTTTTGCATGTTTAAGGTTTCTTCATTATCCACCATTTTCAAACAATAACATGCTCTATGGAAAATAAAGTATCATTACTGCATGCTATAAAGTTGATTTGCATTTAGTTTATAATTCTGGTAAAGACTCAACCTATTAGTGGCAAAATTAATTCTTCAAATTACTAATATTGTCGTTGAATCAATAGATTTTTCCTTGAGATCTGTTTTTATACCTACTGTATATTTACAAGTGATAGTCAAGTGAAACAGAGTGCCATATGCATTTACAATCATTTCACAGGAAACCACAAACATTGTTTTATGTAAAAATATGTTATGTTGGAGACACGTCGTAAACTAAAATGACGTATCACCAATATATGGTGACATGTCACATAGAAAAGGAAAGTGTATTACAAGACCGAATTTGGCATTTTCTTTTGTTTTCTTTTCTATGTATATTTCAAACCAATGAAAATAGCAAGTAAAACTATTATTTATATATTCATTTGGGAAATCTAAGGTAATAAAGCGAGAAGAAAGAATTAACTATTAACTAGATAACAAGATATAATGCATTCTCCTTAGCAGAACAGACAAAGTGAGAAGTGAGCTAGGCATTGGGAACAAAATCAAGCAACAATCTGATACAAACCTGAAGACGCCGAGAAAGATACCTTTAAAAAACTAATCAATATAGTACGATACAGGATTTTATGTTAATCATTGAACGTCAAGCAAGGCGATAATACCACTAAGATGCAAGGGTTTAATTGGTGGGAAATTGAATAAAAATATTTTAATCATGAGAAAGGACAATAAAAGAACAGGTTTGAGTCAAGGAAGACAGAAAATTGTCTATTTGGGAAGTCTAGAAAAATGAAATCCCCTATATACCCATGAATTCTAGATAATCTCCTGAAATCTCTGAAAGAGATGTGGTTCTACTAACAAATGCAGGGAATACAATGGACTGAACATATGAGCAACGTAAACTCTTGAAGGAAGATAGGAACTACACCGAAACTAATACCTCAGTCAGTTGTGTGTCATACGCTTAGGCGATCATGTATCTTTCGATACATAACAGATGAGGCAGATTTTTTTTTCCGCAGTATGTCGCTATTTCTTTCAGTAAACCAGTCGCCATCCAAGAATATAGAGCCCTGTCTGTTCTGCTATCTACCCATAGCTGAGGAGAGAAAAAAAGGTTTCATATCTTTCCTAAGGTTATTAGCACGTAAGGAACGTAATTGATTTGACTTGAATTTGAACTCGACTCTCCGATTCCTCAATCCGAGCCGCTATCTATTACTCCACCGTGCCTACCAATGCATACGCTGTTGAATTAGCTAACTGTAACCTTACGTTCTATTTTAATTGTTTTTTGTCTCTCGCGTGTTGACTACTGAAATCTCTTTCGGTTTCTTGTTTCCCTACGTAAAATATCCAAAAATTTAAATGCTATATAAATCACAATATTCTGGCTTCTCGAAATCTTGTTCTTTTATTGTCCTTTCTCATGACTAAAATATTTTCATTCACTTTCCTACCAATTAAACCTTTGCATCTTAATGGTAAAAGTTGAAAATCTCTGGGACGCATAAAGAGGAAGTAAAGACTGTTGAATCTAATAATGGCGAGGCTTACTGAAGACAAAAGAAACAAGTACAAATAGCGAGCAATCTACTTAAGGAGATTGTGTGAATGGATAGCAGAACAGAACAAAGATCGATGGTAAAGGGTAAAAAAAAAATGGACTTAAGTCAGCAACAGATAGGAAGTTGTCGAGTGCCATGAACACCTACTCCCTGAAAGGACACGACATTTGAATTAAGAAGGACGTTCTACTTGTTTACATGTGTTGTTTGTGCAAAGCGGAAATGCATGTATTTTGTTTGATCTCTTCTTTCAGCGTGTTTTTATGTTTTCCTGCATCAGTTTCGCCGATCTAATAAGTAAATAATAGAAGAGAAGGAAAGGAGCGGATTTAAGAAAGCGATAATATTTCAAACAAATAGAATTACCGTTATATATCACTAGAAATGACCTGACATGTTGTAAAAACGATGAAAATCGATTTAATTTGAATATCAACTTCTCTTTTATGTATTTAATTCCAGAATTATCCATTCGTTTCTTTCGCTTGTTCGTTCTGTTAATCCGTTATTCTCCTCGTGCACGACTCAACCGGTTAATTTAATTGGGAGTCGGCGACATTTATGCTCACGAGATGACTGTAGATTACAATTTTATTGGTCTTGTTCTTTCGTAAATTGAAAGCTAAAGAGCAGCATGATTCAGAAGGATGTGGGATGTGACTCCGGGTGTTTAATAAGAGAGTGACAGTGAGGGAGTGTGAGAGAGAGAAGGGAGAGAGAGAGAGAAAAAGCGGAGAGAGAGAGAGAGAGAGAGAGAGAAGGCCAAAAAGAAAATAAAATCATTATGATCTTCCTTTGGATTACCAGCAAAACTTAATGGAGAAAAATGATGAGGCAGAATAATTGATAAAATAAAAAAGACAGAAATTATGAAATAGTTTAAAGTTTCTTGCCTTTGTGGCACTTTCAATCTTTTTCACTCTCCATTTTCATTTCCCCCTCCCGCCTTCTTCCTATCTTTGTCACTTCTTTCTTTCTTTCTTTCTTTCTTTCTTTCTTTCTTTCTTTCTTTCTCAATCTCTC